GAACCAGTAATATAGCAACATGTGGCAGAAACAGGTTAGAGACAGTCTCAAAAATCTCTTTCGAGTGAAACGTTTTTTTTCACCAAAGTCTCATAACTTCTTTTTTTTAATTAGATGATACTCCTAAAATAACACCATTAATGATGGTATTAAAACCGAGCATGAGAGAGAGTAGTATATATAAATGGAAATACATACATTTGCAGTTTGTTGCAGGTTGGGTGAATGTAAAATGGACGTGGTCTCTATTCAAAAGTCACGTTTCATATACTAAATTTTTAGATTTGATCATTTTCCACCTTTTTTATGAAGAAAATATCTTTGATGATTGATGAAGAAAAGAAACTCTAAAGATATGTTCCTTATTTAAATGCAAATGGTATCTCTTGTTTGCCTTTTTAACTTTCTTATACTAATTCTGAAAAGGGAAAAGTCAGTAGTAAGACGGGAGGGGTATATCCGTCATTTTGTGTTGGTTTCACGACGCGACTTTGACAGTAATCAGCGGTAAGTAAGCCGCGTTTGACATTTTCTTTGGCAACCAAACCAAAAAGATTCATTCTTTTTTCGTCCGCCATGGATTCACCTTTTCCTCTTTCTTTCCTATTTTCGATCCAATCGATTTCTTCGCTTCCCTAAATCCAGTTCATAAAAAAAAAAACATCTTCTTTTTGCCCTAATTCCTCAAAGTTTTGTCCTTTTTGATTTTTGTTTCTGAATCTCGCCCTTTTTGTTTTGTTTTGTTTGATCTGATCTCGGCTATGGCGGATATCGTGAAGCAAATCCTAGCGAAGCCGATCCAACTATCTGACCAGGTAGTCAAAGCCGCTGATGAAGCTAGTTCCTTTAAGCAGGAGTGCGGCGAGCTCAAGGCCAAGACCGAGAAGCTCGCCGGTCTACTCCGCCAGGCTGCGCGAGCCAGCTCCGACCTCTACGAGCGACCCACTCGCCGTATCATCGATGACACCGAGCAGATGCTCGAGAAGGCTCTTTCCCTTGTCATCAAGTGCAGAGCCAATGGCCTCATGAAGCGCGTCTTCACCATCATCCCCGCCGCTGCTTTCCGGAAGATGTCCGCTCAGTTGGAGAACTCCATCGGAGACGTTTCCTGGCTCCTCCGTGTCTCCGCTCCGGCGGAAGATCGCGGCGACGCTGGTTACCTAGGTCTTCCACCAATCGCGGCCAACGAGCCAATCCTCTGCCTGATCTGGGAGCAGATTGCGATTCTCTACACCGGATCCCTAGAAGACCGCTCCGATGCTGCAGCCTCACTCGTATCGCTGGCTCGTGATAACGATCGCTACACTAAGCTTATCATCGAGGAAGGAGGTGTGGTGCCTCTTCTTAAACTGCTCAAGGAAGGGAAGCCGGAAGGGCAAGAGAACGCGGCGCGTGCGTTAGGGTTACTGGGTCGCGACCCGGAGAGCGTGGAGCACATGATTCACGGCGGCGCGTGTTCCGTCTTCGGGAAGGTCTTGAAAGAAGGGCCGATGAAGGTTCAGACGATGGTTGCGTGGGCAACGTCGGAGCTTGTTTCGAATCACCCCAAATGCCAAGACGTCTTTGCTCAGCACAACGCGATTCGGCTGCTCGTTGGCCATTTGGCGTTTGAAACGGTCCAAGAGCACAGCAAATACGCCATTGTCAATAGCAAAGCTACCTCCATTCATCACGCGGTGGTTCTCGCCAAAGAAAACCCTAATTCCTCTTCCTCCTCAGCTTCCTTGGCCAAGGGTTTGGATGATGATCAGAGCTCGATTCCTCATCCGACGGGGAAGCAAATGCCGAATCAGATGCACAATGTAGTTGTCAACACCATGGCGGTTAGAGCAAACCCTCCGAAGAAGTCGACTAGCAATGGTGTGAGCCACAGTAATGGTGGTGTTAAGCTCCCTTGCAGTCTACAGCAGCACCAGAATTCGACTTCTAGCGCATCCAAGACTCGAGAGCTGGAAGACACAGCGACCAAGTGTCAGATGAAGGCGATGGCAGCGAGAGCGCTTTGGAAGCTTGCAAAGGGCAATTCCACCATCTGCAAAAGCATAACAGAGTCCAGAGCTCTCCTTTGCTTTGCTGTTCTGATAGAAAAGGGCATCGAAGAGGTCAGATACAACTCAGCTATGGCTTTAATGGAGATCACGGCAGTCGCAGAGCAGGACGCCGATCTGAGGCGCTCGGCATTCAAGCCCAATTCCCCGGCCTGTAAGGCTGTGGTTGATCAAGTGCTTAGAATCATTGAGATTGCAGACTCTGAGCTACTCATCCCCTGCATCAGAACCATTGGGAACCTTGCTAGAACGTTCAGAGCAACCGAGACACGGATGATCGGTCCTCTGGTGAAGCTTTTGGACGAACGAGAGCCCGAAGTGACAGGGGAGGCAGCGGTCGCACTCACGAAATTCGCCTGCACGGAGAATTACTTGCACAAAGATCACTCGAGGGGCATTATAGAAGCTGGAGGGGGAAAACATCTAGTTCAGTTGGCGTACTTCGGAGAGAGTGGTGTTCAGATTCCGGCACTAGAGCTTCTCTGTTACATAGCGCTCAATGTTCCGGACAGCGAACAGCTAGCAAAGGACGAGGTACTGGCAGTGTTGGAGTGGGCTTCGAAGCAGACATGGGTGACACAGCTGGAGAGCTTAGAAGTTCTGTTGCTGGAGGCTAAGAGCAGACTGGACCTGTACCAGTCAAGAGGATCCAGGGGTTTCAATTTCAATTGATTCATTGTTTCGATTTTGATGTTGAAATCTTGAACACCTTGTTGTTTCATACTTACTCGTGTAAAGCAAGAAGAAAAAAGGCTGGAGCTTTTTGTAGTTGATCATCTCTCTCTGATTCCCTGGTTGTAAAGATTCATATATCTGCAGACGATTATAATTTGATTATTTGAACTATTTGGTCTATTCTCATTGGTGAAGACAAGAGCAAGAAACATCTCTCTGCCTACGTTGATTGACCATGAACAAGTGAGGGATGGCTAACATGTCAAAGAGTTGAAGAGTCCAAGAGGCCCATTAGTAATTTGCTCGAGCCCATTAACTACTAGATTGTGAGTGATGTGTTTTATTTGGTATCGATAGTGAGATGTAAAGAAAAGCTCATGAAATTGGCAATGCTAAAAATGATAAGCTGAAATAGCTTTATCCTTTTACACTTGGCCTTACATTTTCCTTCACACAATCCACACATCCAATCACAACCTGATCATATACCTTCCTCTAACCTTTGTTTCTTTGATCTTTTTTTGCTTATTATCACATTTTAGAGGTCCATCTCTAATTCTTCGTCTGATCAAAACATGGCTGCTGCTATAAGTGCTGCAGTCTCTTTTCCTTCCACCAAGTCCTCTTCTCTTCCCAACAAAACCTCCTTTGCCTCCACTCAAAGGATTTTCCTCAACAAGGTATGATTTCTTTCCATCTATCATGTGTTGTTAATCACAAGTGGTGATCTGGATTTTGTTGTGTCTTTAACATGCATAATTGCTACATGTCCTGCACGTACAGAGCACACTGTGTTACAGAGACGCGAGTGTTAGGGGCAGAGTTGTGTCAGTGAAGGCTCAGGTGACAACAGAGGCTACAGAGGCTCCAGTGAAAGTAGAGAAGGTTTCAAAGAAACAAGAAGAAGGAGTTGTTGTCAACAAATTCAAACCTAAGAACCCTTACACTGGTCGGTGCCTCTTGAACACCAGGATCACCGGCGATGACGCTCCCGGTGAAACCTGGCACATTGTCTTCACCACCGAAGGTTCGATTTCAAAAAGTTTTGATTTTTCCTCAAGTGCATTGCATTTTACATCATGTTTTCTGAGGAATTGTATTGAGTGGGAGATTTGATTAGGTTTGTTGAAATTATGATTGAGTTTAGGTGAGATTCCGTATAGAGAAGGGCAATCGATAGGAGTGATTCCAGATGGAATTGACAAGAACGGGAAGCCGCACAAGCTGAGGTTATACTCAATCGCCAGCAGTGCCATTGGTGACTTTGGTGACTCCAAGACTGTAAGCTCTTTCCCTCTAACAAGTAAGCCATGAAGACTAATACAAATGATCTTCTCTTATCTGCAATGGGGTTTATGCAGGTTTCTCTCTGTGTCAAGAGACTGGTTTACACAAACGATAGCGGGGAGCTTGTTAAGGGAGTCTGCTCCAACTTCTTGTGTAAGACGAAGAAAAAGAATAAATGTGGGAGTGATGGATCGATTACGGGTTAAAGTGTTCTTAGTATTTGTGGTGTATGGATCTTTTCAGGTGACTTGAAGCCGGGTGATGAAGCAAAGATCACTGGACCTGTTGGGAAGGAAATGCTTATGCCAAAAGATCCAAATGCCACCATCATCATGGTATGTCATATAATGGCCTCACATGGAGAAGAATTTCAAGATATAATCAACACTTGTAGTGATTACTTCTACTTTTCTGTATTCTTAGCTTGGAACAGGAACTGGAATAGCTCCGTTCAGATCATTTTTGTGGAAGATGTTCTTTGAGGAGCATGAGGACTACAAGGTGAAACCATAAAGCAAACTCTCTGACACACACTTGTTGCCAAATTTAGTAACACACTCACCAATCTCTATAAATGTAGTTCAATGGTTTGGCGTGGCTCTTCCTTGGTGTACCCACAAGCAGCTCGCTTCTCTACAAGGAGGTACACTAGCTAAATCCTAATCACTTTACCACTGTTGTCTTGTAGCTATAGATGTTGACTTGTGTGGATAATCACAGGAGTTTGAGAAGATGAAAGAGAAGAACCCTGAGAACTTCAGACTGGACTTTGCGGTGAGCAGGGAGCAGACGAACGAGAAGGGAGAGAAGATGTACATTCAGACAAGAATGGCAGAGTATGCAGAAGAACTGTGGGAGTTACTGAAGAAAGACAACACCTTTGTTTACATGTGTGGTCTTAAGGGTATGGAGAAGGGTATTGATGAGATCATGGTCTCACTTGCTGCTAAAGATGGTAAGCACATTCATTTCATTTTAAGTACCGCCCAAGTCTCTCTGTTCATGGTTTTTAACTGTTGTTTTGTCTGGCTTTGAAACAGGGATCGATTGGTTGGAGTACAAGAAGCAATTGAAGAGGAGTGAGCAATGGAATGTTGAAGTCTACTAAGGAGCATTCGTTATGATTATGTAGATAAAGCTGATGCAATGTCAGA